AGGGGCAGCCACAGCTTCTCTGGGCACCCTGTGCCAGGGCCTYACCATCCCTTTCCATGAATAAAATCCCACACTGGCAGAACAGCCCTGCAATATTTACATTGCCTCTGTGCCATGGATTTTTTAAAAATCCAATCAAGGACCATCCACAGCTTCCACCAACACGATTTTTTTTCTGCTGCCTGCCCGTGAAATGTCACTTTTGGCAGGAGTTTGCTGAGCTCTGGACCACATTCCCTGATTGAGGGAGCTGAAAACCGGCCCAAGCGATTTTTTTTTTTTTTTGCTACTGAAGCCTTTTGCAAAGGTGATGCTCCATACCTTCCGTGAGAGGGAAGAGCTCACTCATCTTCTGCCGAGCCCTGCGGAGCTTCACCAGCTCTCCCTCCTGCCGGAGCAGCTTGATCAGATCCAAGTGACAGTTGTAGTCAAAAGCATTGATGGAAAGCTTTTAAAAAAATAATAAAAATCAATTTTACAAGCGGTGTTGAGTGATGGACGTGAAGGAATCAGAAATCAAATCACACAAATCTCATCGTGCGATCACGGAGCCACAGCGTTTCCTCAGATTCAAACAAACCCGACACAGCTCCAGACACTCTCTCGGCTCCCGCCACTGCTCACAGAAAGAATTGTTTTCATTTCTTTGAAGGCAATAAAAAACCGCGGGCAGCCGGCTCGGATTTCTCAATGAACACAAACTGCCCACTAGGGCTTCTCTCTTATTTCCCTCTCAAAAAAAAAACCCCACACCAGTCACTCTTCTTCACACTCCATTCACGTCATAAAATCACGGTATATCCTGAGTTGGAAGAAATCCACCACGACCACGGAAATTCACGTGCTGACAGTTCCCAGCACCAAACTACCGGGGCAGACACGGATTATCCTCCGTTCCCGCCACACCCGCTGCCCCGCCGGGCCCACCTGCTCCTCCAGCCGCTGGATCTCGGCCTCGTTCTCCTTCTCCTCATCCTCGCCGTCCCCAGACGAGTCCGAGTCGCCCTCATCGTCCGAGTCCCCGCCCGACTCGGGGTCTCCCTCCGGCAGCCGCTTCTCCTCCTCAGCCGCCGCCTCAGCTCCCGCCGCCGCCATCTTATGCAGCTCCGCTCGCCGGCAGCCGCGCTTCACGGGCCGCCGCGGCTGCCCGCGCACCGCCCGTCCCGCCGCCCCGCCCCGCCGCCGGCCGAACCGGGAGWGAAGAACGGGAATCTTCCGCCCGCTCCGCCCCGCGCTCGCTCTCGCACCACGGCCGCGCTGCGCCGAGTGCGGCCGCGGATCGACCCTTTGTATTGCGGTCCGTGGTGCAGGCAGCGCCGCGGGCACCCCGCCGTGTGGCCATCAGGGGGCCTCCGGGAGGGTCCGTGGCGTGCGCGGCGCCGCTCGCCCGCCATATTGAGTGTGGCGCCGCATCCCGCACACGCGCCGGCTGTCGCGATAAAAAAACCCTGTCGCGATTGAAAAGCCGCTTCCATCGTTTATTTGTTTACTGATCGCTTTMGCGACAGCGCCAGACCCTTCCCGCAAGCCGCCTGCAGAGCTCGCGCCGTCTGCCCGGCCGAACGCGTGACCGCGGTGAAACGCGGACCTTGGAAGCAAAGGGGCGTGGTTGGGGCGTGGYGGGGGCGTGGCCAACTCGCCCGAGGTTATAAAAGGGAGCCGGACGCGGCCCCTCCCCTCAGTGAAGATGGCGGCGCTGAGGGCGGCGGGGGCGGCGCTGCTGCGGCCCCGGCCCGGACCGGCCCCGGCCGCTGTGGGCTACCACAAGAAGGTGAGGGGCGAACGGGACACGGGGAGGACGCGGGGTTGGCCTTCGTTGACGCTGTGTTTTGGCAGGTGGTGGATCATTACGAGAACCCGCGCAACGTCGGCTCCCTCGACCGCAATGCCAAGAACGTGGGCACSGGCCTGGTGGGCGCCCCGGCCTGCGGCGACGTCATGAAGCTGCAGGTGACCTTGGGGACCCGCTGGCACCTGGGTGGGGTCACATGGAACRGTTTAACCTGCCCGTGTCCCCTCAGGGCACAGCGCAGGTTGCTGTCACACCCGCCCTGCTCTGTGCCCGGGGCAGGGCCTGTCCCGCTACCTGGGGATTGGGGTGGGGTGACCTGGCTGAGCTGAACCGGGCACTGAAATGTCCCCAAAATGCTCCCGCAGGTGGAAGTGGATGAGAACGGCAAGATCGTGGACGCCCGCTTCAAAACCTTCGGCTGCGGCTCTGCCATCGCCTCCAGCTCGCTGGCCACGGAGTGGGTCAAGGGGAAAACGGTGAGGGAGCTCTRGGAAAAGCTTCAGAGCTTCCCACATGCATGTGTTCTCTGTTGGGATCACATAGGAAGCGCTGGCCAGGGAATCCCTGCACTACTCTGTGTTGTAGAAGCCACTGCCAGCACTGTCAGGGCTKCAGTTGTGGGGCAGTAATTGCCTTTTTCAACATCAGAGAATCATTAGGGATGGAAAAACCTCTCTAAGAACATCAAGTCCAACTGTTCCCCCAAGCACTGCCAGGTCCACCACTGACCATGTCCCCAAGTGCCACATCCACATTCTTTTTGAGCAATTCTAGGGACAGTGATTCCACCACAGAGGTATTTAGTGTTTTATGCAATAAGCAAAACCAGGCTGATAGCAGAAATTTTATTTACAGAGAGTCTTTAGGTCATTGAGATTGGTTTTTTTGCCAGGAGTAAATGCACTTCAGTGTTGTGATAGAGGATCAGCAACCTTGTAGCAGCCCAAGTGGGGACGGTCTGTGACACTGATATGTCAGTCAGACATTCCTTAATTCCCACATCCCTCACTGCCCTGGGCAGCTCAGATCATCTCCCCTGTGGATTTTGTTGGCTCTGRAGCTTTAAACCCTCTTAGCAAATAAACAGCAGGGCCTGTGACCACCTCTGCGTGTGTTTCAGGTTGACGAAGCGCTGAAAATCAAGAACACAGATATTGCCAAGGAACTCTGCCTTCCCCCTGTCAAACTGCACTGCTCCAGTAAGTAAAAACGCTGAATCTCTGGCAACAGCACAGATGTTTCTGGATGTTGTTTTCCAAATAATTTTTGCACGACCTTGTCCTTGAGAAAAACTTGACGTTCAGATTCTGGGGTTAATTCAAGMGTTTTCAGATCTCTTCAATATTTTGAAGCCCATGGCTCAGCAGACTGATAAACGATCATATTCTGAATTATAATCTGAAGCTACATTGCATTAATTCAGTATTTTAGGAATTCTGTTCAGATTCTCCTCCTAAAATCAGTCTGTGCTACCGGTCTTGTTTGCTCACTGCTGTCTGCTCTCATTTTTACCTCATCTTTTGTCCTAAAAGCCCTTGAATTATCCTTAAAAATATTTTTTTTTTCTTGTTTTTGCTTTGCAGTGCTGGCTGAAGACGCCATCAAGGCTGCCTTGGCTGACTACAAACTGAAGCAAGACGCAAACAAAGAATCCGACAAAAAAGCCGACAATGCCTGAGCTGCCTGCGGAGCTTTCCCTCCTCCCTCCTCACTTTGCARTGCAATTCCCGAGCTGTAGTAGGACCCTGTGCACTACTCAAGCTGTAAGATACGCACAAGTTACGCACAACGTGTCCCTGTGGTGTCCAGCCACTCTGTAGTGCTCACACGGCTGGGATGGGGGCTSCTGTCCCCTCGGGAATGCCGCGGGAAGACTCTGCTCCGGAGACAAAACCCCGCTGTCTGGTACTGGAAGGGCTGCACTTTTCTTTTTTTTTTTTGGGAAGATGTCTAGTTTTGCCTAATATTTTATTGAATTTAGTGGGAAGCGTTGCCTTGGTGTGGATGTGTCTGTGAGAGCTGTGTCGGGGTTGGTTTCGCAATCCGGGGGCAAATTCCTGCTCTTGGAATTCTGGGACCCTTTGCAGGTGCCAAAGGGAAAAGTGGCCAAGAAACGCCYATCCTGTCACCACTTAGGTTTTTTTAAGCTCTTATTTGAGGAACAGCCTGAATTTTGGGGCGTTTTCTCTAAGAATTCCATCTTTGCACTCACCAGGTGCTCTGTTAGAGCGGTGAATCCTGGGCTAGAGGAAGGTGTCCATGCCCAAGGAAGGGGTTTGCAGCTGGATGAGCTTTAAGATCCCTTCCAACCCAAACCACTCCAGGGTTCTCTAAAATGCACCCTCAGACTGGAACTCTGRTGGGGAATAGCAGATCTGGAATGCAGAGCTGAGGGGAAGCTCCCAGAGTTCCTCTTTTCCAGGGCAATATTTGCAAAAGAAGCAGACAACACATTGGAAAACTTCACTTTTTTTCCTTCCAACCCCCCACAAGACACCTCACTTCCCATTTTTCCTACCAAGGGTGTTGTTAAACATTTTAACCCACGTTTAAGAAATAATTGTCTCATTCTTCTCCATCTGGGCACAGTATTTGTAATTTTTAACACAGAGGTCACACGTTGCTGCTTAGTTTGTCACGCACAAGATCCCTCTTGTGGTTCCTCAGCTCCTGGCACCCTCCTGCAGTGAGGAATGTTCCTCTCTCCCAGGGAACAATCCTGCTATTTCCCAGTTAAAAAAAAAAAATCAGGGAAACTTCACACACCCCCATCAGCATTCAGGGCAGAATTGGCTCTTTCAGTGGCACGCTCTTCCAGTGGTTGAGCTGAGGCAGGAATGTGATGGGATAAAACAGGGATACAGGAATAGGGGCTTGCAAGGATACAGGGATATGCTGCTTTTGAGGCAGAACAGCCTCTCTCACCTTGCAGGTCTCACCGCTGTCCCCACTGCAGCAGCTGCACCCCGGTGCTGTGGCTGGGTCCCCCACAGCCCCCCCTTTCCCCCCACACCCACAGTTGTGGGTTTGAGATAAAGGTTTCCTGGAAGTGGCACGTGATGTGCTGATCTGGGGGATGATAACGCCCTCCCCAYGGCTCCACTGTCCCTGGGGCCCTGTCCAGCTGTGCCCCTGGAGGAGCAAAGGGAAACTGGGACCRTCCCTCGGCCACCCCACGGCTGCAGAGACACAAAGGAGAGGCGCTGCACGGAGAAAACATTTATTTCTAGCTGAAGGGGTTCAGAAAATGAGGCAAAAATCCAGCTGGGCTCTGGGGTGAAAGAAAGAAAGGAGGGTCCTTGYCCTTAAATCCTCATCCCTCCCCCCTCGAGTGGCCATGGGCAAAGCTGACCCATGTCCTACAGACATCCAGTCCTGGTCCCATCCCTCTTCCCAGAGGGACACAGCTCCCAGCCAGGCACCCAGCACRGACCAGGATACTGCTGATTATTAAAACAACATTTGGGAGAAAGCTGGGGGCAGAGCTGGAGCTGGGGGATGCACCCACCCAGTTCSTGTGGTGGGAAAAGCCCCTTGGGCAGCAGAACCGGGGCTGACGGCATTCCAACACTGGGGAAAACCGTTGGCAAACCCCCCCCATCAGCACGAGGGTCTGGGGGAATTGGGGGGAACGGGATCTTCATCGGGGCTTCCTCGAGCCACCACGTACGTACAGAGCCTGATCCACCCTGTCCATCGTGCGTCCCCAGCCGGCAGCTCCTCAGGCTCGCCCGGGACCGTGTCCCTCCTCAGATTCCAGAGGGGGACGGGGAGCCATCCTGGGGTGCATCGGGGGTCTCCTTTCCTCCTGCTCCCGCTGCACCCGCCGCTTCCTCCGCGCCGAGATTTTGGGCAGGGGGCTTGGATTGCTCATCCCCCAACTTCTTCCTTCCTTCCTCCTCTTCCTCCTCCTCCTGAGGGGAATTCTGCTCGGGCCGGGCCCCGTTGGCCAGCGGCGCTTTAGGGGGGGATTTGAGGTTCTGGGCAGCAGCCAGGATGTCCGCTTGGAGCTGCCGGCCACCATCCAGCAGCTCCTCCTCGCCGGCCTCGGCCGCTTTCTCGGGCACCTCGCTGAACGCCCGTGCTCCCCCCGACTTGTCCCGCTCATCCACGTATTTCTTCTTGGGAAAGGAGGAGGGATAGTAGGCGGAGGCCTTGTGCTTCTGCCGGACGATGATGGCGGCGCAGATGATGAAGAGGAGCACGAAGGACAGCGAGCCCACCACCACCACCAGCAGCAGGTACTCCTTGAAGAAGTCCACCAGCCCGTCCAGCACGCCCGGCGCCGAGCTGTTGGTCACCGTGGTCCCTGGCATGTCCCCCACTGTGGGGCTGATCCGGGGGGTCACTGGGTGGACGGGCAGCGTGGCTGACGCCTCTTCCCCGTCCCCGCTGCCCGCGGTGTCCGGCAGCACCGGGCGGTGCCGGGGGGCCGCCGCCTGCGCCGGAGCCACCGCCAGCAGCACCAGGAGCAGCAGCCACGCTCCCATGGCCGAGCCCATTGTTGGGAATCGTGCAGGGGACCTGTGGGATGCAGAGGGACACGTTAATACCCCAACAGAACAAGCCCCCCAAGCCCTTCCCTGGGCCAACCCCCACCAGCCTGGATTTCCTTATGGAAGTAGAAAGCTCCGGTTTTGTCGCCCTGCCGGAGCGAGGGGCTCCGGTTGTTTTCCAAGGGCGCAGCTGGAAGCCAGCTGGGTGGGATTGCTCAAGGCCGGGGGACCGGGGCCGCTGCCAGCGCCCGGCTCCAGACAACGGTCATTTGGTTGATTAGAGAATTCCTGAAAAATGGAGGTTTGCAGTGGAAACTTTGACACAGGCGACGCTACGAAGGGGCYGGGCCCGGAGCAAGAGGCATTTCCCAACCGCCCGGCCCGGCCCGTTAATTCCCAGCTGGAGCACGGCTAAAAATAGGTTGGGGCAGGATTTCACCCCCGTGCCACCACAGTGGTTGAGTGGAGCCGGGATGGGGCATGGGACAAAGAGGCAGCCCCAAAGCTGGAGTGCAGGGAGTGGGGGTGCCAGGGRTCCTGGCTCTGTCCCCGTGCTGTGTTCCTCACCCGGATGGGGCTGGGGCTGGATCTGCCTCATTGCACAGCCATTCCACAGCCACAGCCCACCGTGCACTGTAGGACACGGGACATGACTTCCCACCCCGGAGCAGTGACCGGGGCGAGTCCCTGGCCRGGCTCTGCACCCCGYGGGATTCGGGAGAGGGACGTGACCGTCCCCACCACGTCGYGACACGTTCCCGAGGGACATCAACGCGTGCCACGCCACGTAACGCCATCAAGCCTTTCCCGGGGTTCTTCCCCTCCACACGGCTCCGTGGGGAGCTCTCACTCCCCAGATCCATCAGCGAGGATCCCCCATGACAATTCCCCAACCTCAGGCACCCCAAATCCCAATGCACATCCCATTTTCCCCCCTAAACAAACCCAAGCCAGCAGCTCTGCAGACCGGGAGGGACTCCAGCAGCAGGATTTCACTTCCAGGCTCTTTCCCGGCTGCACAATCTGGTTTCCATTAATCCAGAGCAAACAAACGGCGGCGGAGGTGGGAGGTACCCCCGGACCCCCGACCCTCCGGTTCCCCACGGGCACTGCTGCGGCTGTGGGGTCACAGCACTGACCAGCACTGGGACAATGAAGGGTTTGGAGGGCTGGGATGAGCCTCTTCATCCTCCCCTTCACYGCAGACAGGGGCCCCTCGGCGGGAAAGGGGTCCCGGGACGGGGACGGTATCAATTCCCCGGCAGCCAGYGGAGTTGAGGAGCAGCCACAGCCATGGAAGGGCCAAGCAGAGCCCAAAGCAGGGCCGTGAGCAGGGCCTGGCACCACRGGCACTGCCAGCCCTCCATCCCAATCCCACTCCAGCCCCATCCTCGCCCATCCCCAGACCCACAGCGCGTCCCTGGCTTTGCTTCCCTCTGCTTCCCARCCGCTCCAGAAATGCAGGATTTTGTCCAGACGCGGCTCGCTCCCRTTCCTGCCTGGCATTGCAGCCATGTGGCCGACTCCATCCCGTGTCCCGCCGTGGGGACCATGCCCAGCCCTCACCGCGGCACCCCTGGCTGTGGGACAGCCTGTGCCCTGCTCCAGAGCACCCCAAAATTGGGGAGCAGCCTGGCACAGCCGGAGCGATCCTCACCTCGCCCGCAGCCGCGGGAGGGAGCCGGGAAGACGGGATCTGTCCCACACACTTCGAGCCCCTTTCTGCTGCCTGCTGGGATGGAGCCTCCTCCTTCTCCCTCTTCTCCTCCTCCTCCTTCTCCTCCTCCTCCTGCGTCGCAGCCCGGGACCAGCTTGTTCTCATTAGGGCCGGGATGGGGAGGGGGTGTGGGAGGCCAGGGAAGGGCAGGCAGCCCCCAGCCCCCTCCCAGATGAAATCCAGCTGGGGCTGAGGGTGTTTCCTGGCTTATCCCGTCTGCAAAGGAGCCCCGGTGCCCCCCATCATCAACCCTGGCAAGGGGGTCACATTTTGGGGTGCAAGTGGGGACAGGGGTCACACAGGGGGTCGTTGCAAAGATGTTTTTATCCACGAGGCTCTGAGGAGGATAATGAGGCCATGGGCTCAGGGCCCTGGCATTCCTGGGGCAGTGGGGCAAACAGGAATTGGGACCCCCCACCCTCATTTCAGGAGAACATTCCCTAAACATCTCAACTTGGAAACGCTCTGGCCTGAGCACCTCTGCCTTGGGGTGCAGGCAGGGACACAGGCRGGGTCCCCGTGGTTCCCCAGACAAACTCAGCAGCTGCTCAGCTCCCCGGCTCCTGCTCTCCAGTTTGAGGGTCTGGGGGCATCTCCTGCCCCCCCCCGAGCTCCGTCTCCCCCCCGCCCTGATCCCCTCGGCCCGGCCTGAGGTTGCTCAAGAGGCCGCAGCCGCTGYGTGACCTCATCCTGTTGCTATTTTCCTCTGCTCCTCCCTGGGGACCTGCCAGACCCCCCAAAAAGCCGCGGCCAGCGCCCGGGGACCGTGACCCCCGCGGGGCGGGGGGCGAGGGATTCTGTGCCCCCGGCCGGAGCGGAGCTGGCGCCGTCGGGGTTTCTCTGTCGCCGTCGCGGCTCCCCGAAATAAAGGCTCGGTCCGTCTGGCGGCCCCCGGCAGCTGCTGGGGCGGCTTTTCCCGGCCTTAAGCGCTCAGTGATGAAATCTTAGAGGGGACGGGGGAAAGGCGAGGGGAGGCCGGGAGGAGTTCCAGCAGCGTCCGGCCCTGCTCCCGCAGCCCAGGTGGGGATTTGGGATGAGATTCCACCCGTGCACCCGGCGGTGCCGGCGCTGGRCTCAGTCTCCCTGTCCAGAATCTCCATTCCACCCTGCTGAGGATCCCCATGGCCGCTCATCCAAGAACCCCACCCTGGTCAGGATTCCACCCTCCTTTGCCCACAGTCTCCATCCCTCCTTGKGCAGGATTTGCGTCCCACCCTGGCCAAGGCTCCCACCCTTCATCGCTCAGAGTTTTCATCCCTCCCTGCCCAGCGTCCCCACCCTCCCGGCCGGGATCCCCATCCCGGCTGGCGGTGCCAGCTCCCACCGACCATTACGATGCCGTTTTTGCCTGCGTTTTKCCCTCGGAGCAGGGCAGGGCCGGGACCGCCCGGCCCCGCTGTGTAATTTGGGGCAGCAGGAACGGGCACAGCCCGCTCGGGGAACCGGCAATTTGAGGCATTTCAGCCCCGCTCTGCTTCTAATTTGCTCCCGCGGGCTGAGCTTTGCTGTGCCAGCAAAATACCCGGAGGGGACCCGTCCCGCGGAGCTCCATGTGCAGCGTCGTGCATGGGATTGTGTCACCCMCGGCYCCGTGTCACCCACCCCCGGCCCSGTGTCACCCRCCCACGGCCCGGTGCCCTCCCTGAGGATCCTGCTGTGACACCGCGCCGGCTCCCCGTGAATTCCTGTGCCGTGAGGAGGGCGATGGCATCCCGACAGGACCCGCTGACTGCGCCAAATAGGGCGATTCGCGGCTCCTGGCAGCCGACTCCCGCTCCAGCGGTGGAGGGAAGTTTATCCCTGCCGGGCTCCGGAGAGCTCCCCGGGGCTGGGAGAGTGGGAGCGATCCTGGGATCTGCAGCCATCCTCATCCTCGGGACACACCGGCCTCATCCTCACCGGGGCAGAGGCCGGGTGAGCCGCTGCGGGGTAGGATGAGAGCATCGCTTTTCCCCCGGGACTGCTTTGACTGGCAGGAATTGGCGTGGGGACACAGTGGGACAGAGCAGRGTGCCATCAGCAGGGAGGCCAGGGTTGTCCTGCGTGGGGACCGGCCACGGCCACCGGCTGTGGGTCCCCTGGCCTGGCTGAGTCACCCATAAACATTTACATTCACAGCCGGAGCGGGGCCGTGCAGCTGCCAGGATCCAGATGGAAAATATCCCAAGCACAGCGTGAATGTAAACAGGCGGCAGGGCCGGGATGCAGGTGAATGACCACGCTGGCAATTCCCCTCAGACACCCTGGAGTGGCCTTTGAGGAGGCTTGGAGATGTGGGGAAGGGGATTTGGGGGTGTGGGAATGGGGATGGAGGGATGGGGACACTGAGCCTGGCCACAGCAGGGATGGGGAGTCTGGGTGGAGCAAGAATAGAAAAAATGGAGACACGAAGCCTGGCTGGAGAGTCCTGGGCCATTTCTGTTCGCCCAGGGGAGGGATCAGTGAGTGGCCTGAGGGGTGACCGACACCTGCAGGAGCGGGTGACACGGTGACACCTTCTCTGGCCACTCATGGCTTTGCTCTCCCCATCGCCCCATTCGCAGCCCCATCCAGGCAGGGACAGCCGGGGCCAGCKCTGCCGGACGAACCCGAGACTCTGCGGCCACCGCTGGGCCCCGGGGCCGAGCACCTGACCGGCAGCGGCGGCTCCGGAGGCGCCCCCGCCTCGCTGCAGCGACCGCAGGCAGGAACACGTTGAGCCGCGATCGCACCCGTCCTGTCCCCGTCCCTGTCCCCCGGAATTTCCGCCCCGTCCCCGCCGCCCTTCCAGCTCCTACGAGACCGAACCCAYGCGGGGCTGCGGTCCCGGGAGCTGCGGTCCCGTCCCCAAAGTCCCCAGTTTGGTCCCTGCCCAGCGAGTGGTGCCCGCGGGTTTCGTTTCTGCTCCCCCGGGGCGGTTGAGGGGGAGGATGGAGAAGCGAAATTTTGGCTCAGGATGTGGGCARGCGGCGGGGCGGGGAGGGGGCTGGCGGGTGCCGTCCCCGCCAGGAAGAGACCACCACGTCCGGATAACATTTTAATGGGATGCGCCTCRAGGGCTGAGCTCGCCGCGGGGCAGCAGCTCCGCCGCACCGCTCCGAGATAAAACCCCGGGGGACCGGGCTCCGCTGCCCCGCGGCTCCACCGGGGACCGGGCACGGGGCTCCTGTGGGATGCAGGATCCGTCCCTGCGGCTCAGGAATGATCCGGCAGGAAGCTGCTCAGAGTCAGGTTGTCTCCGTCGGGCTCGGAGCTGCCGTCGGGCAGCAGCAGCTTGTGCCGCTGGGCCGGGACGGGYCGGGGRCCGGGGGCYGCCTCGGCGTCGGGCAGCAGCGAGGAGATGCAAACCATCTCGGTGTGGCTGAAGCGGCGCTGCCCCGTTCGCGCCCGTCGCCACAGCAGCGTCCCCAGCACCCCCGTGCACACCAGGAAGGTGGCGGCCACCAGCCCCAGCAGCAGGATGGCCAGCAGGCACTTGCCCATCAGCCCGCTGGGCTCCCAGGGCGCCGCGGTGGCCCCCGATGTCGTGTCCCAAGGGGTCGGGAGGGTCGTTGCAGGCAGAACTCCGGATTTCTTGGGTTTCTTGTAGCCCGYGGTGGTGAGGACGAGGGCTGGGGGGGCTGTTGAGCCTGGCCCTGTGGAGAAGATGCCGTCCAGGCCATCAGTCACTGTCCCCTCCTCGGCGGGTGACGTGAGCCAGCTGCGTGTGGTGATGGTGATGCCCTTTTGGGGTGCTGAGGGTGAGCCTGGCAACAGGTCGAGATCGGGGGAATCGGTCTCATCCATGAGAGCGGCGGTGGTTGGCACCGTGAGTGCCCGGCTGGGCAGAGTGCTGGATGCTGGGGTAGAGGTCAGGAGCAGGTCGGGATGAGGAGGATCGGTCTCATCTGTGGGATCCGCTGTGGTGAATGCTGCAGGCACCCGGAGCAGGCTGGGGCTGGCACTGGGCGCCGGGGGTGACACAGAGTCCTCCAGCAGGTCGGGATAAGGGGGATGTGTCTCAACCATCGGCTCGGCTGTGGTGGGCGCTGCAAGCACCCGGAGAAGGCTGGMRTTGGTGCCGGGTTCTGGCGMCACAGAGCTCAGCAGCAGCTCAGGCTCGGGGGAATCATCCATGAGATCGGCTGGGGTTGGCACCCGGAGCGGGCTGGCCTTGGTGGCGAGTGCTGGCGGTGGCACAGAGACACCATCGGTCTTGTCGCTGCTGATCATCGCGGTGGCACCGAGCTCCTGCCCGCTGTTATCCCTCTTCCCACGGGACAGGGACAGGGGCTCGGCCGCTCCCCAGACCCACTGCCCGCCCTGGGGCAGCCCCATCTGCGGTGGATCAGCCCCAAATGCCCGCACGGGGCTCAGCAGCAGCAGCAGCACAGCCCAGCCCAGCGCCATGGGACCTGCAGGGGACAGAAAGGGCAGGTGACATCGGGGATGCTGAGCATGGAACTGCCCCAGCGTGGGATGGCACTCCTGCCCTCCTGGAGAGGCGCCCTTGGGTTTGGGGGATGGAGGATGCACCCAGAGACCTCCTCCTGCCACAGCCCCCACCTGCAGGAGCTCGGCTCTGCTCCAGGGGCCAGTTTTGATAAGGAAGTTGAGCGTCTGGAAATGGGAAATCAGCCRCGCTGGAGGCGGCAGCTGCGGGACGGGGCAGTTGCAGGATGAGTGTCCATGTGGAAATGAAACCACAGGGATGTCACCCACAAGGGGGTTTTGGGGTTTTGGCAGACCCCCCACCCTGGGGTGCCCCTCTGCCCGCCGGGCTGGCACAGGGCTCCAGGGCTGAGGCCACCATGAGCCTGTGCCTCTGTGCTGGAGCAAGAGAGGCAAATACACCCCAAACTCACCCCAAATCCCCGCGTTCCATCTGTCCATCACCAATTCCTCCCCACTCGGCAGCCCCGGTGGGTGGAAGTCACCAAAGTCCCCGCGGATCCGCACCCAGCAGCATCCATCCACGGCTCACCGCTGTGAGCATTCCCAGGCGGTTCCCACATCCCCAAAGCACCCACCCGCCCCACAAAAACCCTAGGGACCAGCACGGAGCGTTTGCACCCACAACATCTCTCCCCAGCGGGGCTCACCTGTGCCGGAGGATGCTGCGGGATCCCGACTGCAGGAGCCACGGGCGAGCGGGGCGAGGGCAGCCCTGGCACCGSCACCGCCACCGGGGTGTCGTGGGGCACCCTCCGCCTGCACCTCCGGCCGGGCGGCGAGCGGAGAGAGCGCGGAAGGGCGGCTGCGCTTTCGGAGGGAAGGACGTCACACCCAGAGCGGGGCCGCCGAGAGCTGGGGGCTGCGGGCACCCCTCGGCTCGGCTGGCACGGTGTGGGGTGCGCCCCAAAGAGGGGCTTTTGCCCTGCTGGAGCCCCCGGCTCGGCCCCGCGGAGCTGCCGCGCGTCGCCCCGAAAGCAGAAGTGACGGCGAACCTGGTGCCAGGGCTGCCACCACCCCTCGGGCACGGTGTGGGCATGGCCAGGGAAGGGGCACGGTGCCCTGAGCTACCTCAACACCGGGAAACGCCTTCGCACGCGAGGAGCGGGAGGGTGAGGACCTGACGGGATGTTTTGCACAGCCTTTGTGCCGCGCTCCTTCTCTCAGCACCATGGATGCTCGGAGGGGCTCTCGGGGGCCCGCTGGGTGTTTTCCTGGGTGTTGTCGCGGCCTCGTGGCATTRGCACGACAGGAAACCCCCCGCCCCAACCGCAGGCTCCGGGCGGGAGGCGCCGCCGCAGCCSCAGGAAGGTGCTGCAAGAGGCACATCCGCAGGAACGGGCTCGGGGTGTCAACAACCCCCGCCCGCCAAACCCCAGCCCGACCCTGCTCCGAAAATCCTGCCCATGGGGCTGGAAGAGGGAAAAAAAGGGGGCTCGGGGCTGTGGGATGAGCATCCCTGGGATGGATCGATGGTGCACAAGGAGCGCTTCCTCTCYGGGAGCATCCCTGCCCTGCTTTGGGGTGGGGCTCGGGCTGTTCCGGAGGTGGTTGTGCAACATCCCCCGAAACGCTGCAGCCCTGAGAAAGCTCAGCCCTGGGCGGGGTGAGGGATGCTGCTCCCAGCCCATTTCGGGTTTCCTGCCCTCTGGAAGCACATTTCACCTGGGGAAGAGCAGAACGAGTCCCCCCAGCTCCAGGGTACACCCCAAGCAGGGCTGTTCCTTCCTGGGAACACATCAGCCCGCGCCCCAGCCCGTTTGTGCCATCACATCCCACATCCAGCCACGCTCTTGGGTTCATCACCGGTGAGGATTCCACCAGGATCAGCCCTGACTCTCTTGGAATCAGAGCAGAAAATCCCCAAGGACCCCCTCAGCCACGACCCACCCCCCTCAAGTGTCCACCATTCCGGTTACCAATCAGACCTGGAATGCCGAGGAGCCGAAGGAAAAGCCGAGCAGAGGCAGTTTATAATCAATGACTTTTTTTTATCTTTTGAAAATGGAAGCAAATATTTGGACAGATACTCTGGCCGCTCTATAAGAGCGCATCTTTCCGGACTGGGCTGGTTCTCTCCCGGGATATCACGGCTACAAAAAGCTTCAGGCACTGACTCCGGTTGAGCCTGGCGAGGCATCAGTTCATTTAAATAAAATACAGGCTAGGAACTAAAATCTCCCACACCCCCACCCCCGGGCATCTCAATCCAGCTGCTCTCAAAACTGATTTCCCTCCACTGTTATAGGAAYGAACCCGAGGTCCCCGAGCACACAACCCTGAAGTCACACGTACAAACCAACACAGAAATCACCACTGCGGGGAGAACGACCGTCGGGTTTGGGTTCCAAAAAGGAAAAAAAATAAAAAATCCATAAAAATACACATGTCAGGCATTTACTGCAATACAGAAACGTCACCAAACAGCCAAAAAACCCAGAGCGGCCGGATTGTGGATCCACGGGCACAGGGCAGGGGATGCCACTTGTCCCTAAAACACAGAAAAATCCCACTCATCYGAAGCTTTCCTGCTCTGCAATCCCACCACATCCTCTGTCTCCTCCATCCTGTCCTCGTGCCTCTCCAGCTACGTCCCCCGGCCGATTCCRCCTCCACACACGCATCCCTCCACAACAGGGAATCCTTAACCTGGAAGTTCTGAACATGCAAACACTGGGAAAAAATGGAAAATCGGAGAATTCCTAGCTAAACTAATGGAAAATTTAAAAAAAAAAAAAAAATCAATCACTTCAGCCTGGACGAAGGGACTCGTGTCCACCGGGATGCTCTGGGCAGGGGATGCTCCACGCACACGGAGCTGCCACAGGGACAGAATCCAGCTGGGATAGGGACCCATGGACACTGGACACATCTTGGACACCGGATGGTCTTTGCCCAACTCTGGGCTCAGGATGGGTTGTCAGCACTCCCTGGTGCTGTGCCGGGATGGGCAGCACTGATCCCRCCTGGCACAGCTTTCCAGGGTGTCCTGGAGCCCATTCCCAGCACAAGGACACAGCCTGGGAGCAGGGAGCCAGCCTGCCCCATCCCTGACAGCTCCTTCGCAGGGAAAACCCCGCCTGAGCAGAGCTTTGCTGAGCTGAGCTTCCATGGAATTCCTGGCAAAGCTCGCTCGCCAGCCCAGAGCACTCATGGGGTTTCTCCCTGGAGGATCCCAAAAGAGTGTGAGAAACCAGTTCTCCAAACTGGGATCAAATCCACCCTCCCAGTCCCTTCCTGTCTGAAGGGCTGCGAGTGCAGGGTGGGGGGTTTGGGGTTGGAGGTCACTCATCTGATCTGGGAACAAATCCTTTCCTGCAAAGCTTTCCAGCATGGCAGGGTGGGAGGCAGGAATGGGAATGATGGATAARGGAAAATGGATTATAAAAAAATAACAACAGAGGTGTTTTGTTTGTGGAGAATCATCATGGGAAAAAAATAAAATCACCTTTCTGCTGCTAATACTGCCTTGGAAGCACAAAAAATTCCTATCACCAGCATTGGTGTGAGGGGCTCCAAAAGCTCCTTAAAATCCATGAGCTGAGGAGTGTTGGGGGAACAAAGATTTACAGCAATGACTGCTGGAATCCCACAGCTCACCTGGACCTCCACGCTCCATGGACAAAAACATTCCTGCATGGAAGAAACGTCTGCCTCGAAACGGAAATAAAAATCAGCAAATAAAACACATGAGTTTGGTCACGGAATCAAACCTCGGGATTGTATGAAAATGGAAACATGGTGCTGGCTTAAAACTTCAGTAGGAAATAAATCCCCTCGTTCAGGAGGATATATTTGTATTTTTCTGTCAGCCAACGGGGCTGGGGACAYGTTCTGGAGCAGGAAAGGCAGCTCATCCCATCTCCAAGGGGTCTTTGCAGGGAAGAGAAGGGAAGGGAACCCACCTGATTGTTTCAAATGGAGGATTTATACAAAATA